CAGCTCTTAGAGCTCATGGATGGGGTTTAGGGTTTTAGGGTTTTAGGGTTTAGGGTTTAGGGTATAGAAGCCCCATATCGCCCCATATGGGTGGTTGTCAAAATTATGGTCCCTTTTTGGGTACGCTAAATATTAGGTGCCGTATTATAATAGGGACCCAAAAAGGGACCATAATTTTGGCAACCACCCCAATGCCAGCCCCGCTACGTCGCAGAAGCGTACGCAGCGGCGGGCGCGGACGTCGAAGAGAGGCAGCTCGGTACTGCAAGCCTGCCGCGCTAAGTCCATCTGGTAGTAGCCTGAGATGGGTTTAGACACGCGCATCGCACAGCACTGCTGAGATGCGTTTAGGGTTTAGGGTTTAGGGATGGGTCGGAAGCCCCTTTTTCGGTGGATGCGCATGTACAGAACCGAGCTTCTAGTGGCGCCAGGACGTGGGGGAACACTGCGAATCAAACAGAAAGGTCTGAAAACCAAAGACCAGCCCCACACAAAATCTGCTTTGCGGTGGTGGTATTATTCTATTTTGGGGACTATTGTATCCCTCCCCTTCAAAGTATGGCAGTCTCCATAAATAGGGGGACCCAAAAAAGGTACCCCTAATTTTGGGCAACCCTTACCCCTTAATCCCTAGAAACCCCGAACCTTACATAATCCCTCTAAACCCCTTTAAAAGGACCCCTAACATGATCACGCTCAAAGTCTGGACTTCCCACAGCACTTGGGAAACGTTGCGGATACAAACACCCTAAAATACCGCACGGAACTTCTCTGCTGCCAGCTACCCCGCGGTTTCCCTCAAAAGCCTAGCGCAGCCCGGCAACCGAAATGTCCACCATCAGAGGAGATCACCTGACTAGCGTTTTTTGGTTGAGCCAAACAAGACTATGTCCTTCTTATAACATGCTGTATGCCAAAAAGAATTTAATCTAAGAGTGTCAGCCAGCCCAAAAATTCTACTCACCTGACACTGCCTGCTACGGCTGGCATCTCCTTGCTCGCCTCTCAGTTGGCCTCTGCTGAATGTAGCCCCCCCCCTAATGCTCAACATCCACCACCCCCTATTCTGTATGCAGTTGCATCTGAAAAAACGTGTGGACGACTACAAGGAACATCTCATGTTGGGGGTGGGAAGGGGTGCCTAACATTGTGGGGAGGTGCCTTAATAGAATGATGGCCACATCAAGAGCTCAAAGTGCCCAGTGCCCAAGCAGGCCGGTAGCCCTGAATTTCAGATTCCATCTTCTTCACCTTAAGACACAGCTTCTCATTAGTAGCTAGCAATGAGAATACTAAAATATCAATAGTAAAACTAGCAGTCGTAACAGTAGTGGTAACCCTATCTAATCCTGTACAATCCCTAAGTAGCCCCCTGCAAAATCCTTCGGCCTGCCTTCAGGCGGATCTTGCGCTTCATCCCCATTGGCACAGGAAACTGCAGGTACTTGTTGGGATACTGAAACTCCTGGGATCCCAGCATTCTTGGAGCTGTTAGGGTTTTGGTGTTATTTATAGGGATAATGGAAAAGAAAATGGAAACTACTATAAAGGGTTATATAGTTATAGGGTTTTGGGTCCTTCGAAGTTTTAGGGGTCACCCAAACCATGAGTTCTCTTCGGGTCTTAAGCTATGTCGTACTCAAGTTGCTCAGGATTCCAGGGGCCAATCCGTTCACTCCACAGAAAGCAAACATCCAAAGCTTTTGAACTCATAGTACACGCCTGCCTCATATGAAGCCCTCAGCGACTTGCCAAGGCTCTCCATAAGCCTCCTCCCTAAGCCTCCGAAGCGGGGAAGACCTCAGCGACTCTGGATGGGAGTTGTCCAGCTCTGTGATGTTGTCGTCTTTCCTGGCCACCCATCAAAATCCGAAACAGACTTCTTTGGTGGGGAGCGTCTGTGTAGTTAAGGGTTGTTTTCGGCCATCCATACTTCGTCACAAAATTGCAGCAAGCCGTACGCACCCTGTGAGCTCGGAGGTTGCAAAGAGAAACTGCGCTAGTTGGGGACTTTGAACCGCAGCGAAGGTCTTCAACAAGCCATGCTCTCCAATGGCTTTCCCTACCTGCCCTCATCACGGTAATTGTTATATTATCAGCTCACTGGGCTTTCTTTGCAACATAACAAGAAGCTCACTAGGCACACTGCCCTCCAGCCCTCATGGACTGACAAGCCCTGCTAAAACCCTGGACCCTAAACCCCTAAACCTACTCCCTTCAAACGTCCCCATTGTGAGTACAGAGTTCTTCGTGGTGCTGCGTGCTCAAGGTAAGGACTACAACTTAGCACCAGCTTCCATAAGCCACAAATCTTGAAACTCCGAAGCCAAAAGCCTAAACCCTAAACCCTGAGTTCTAAACAGTCAGCCCTAAAGTTGCCCTTGAAATGGGAGTTATTCAGGGGGGCCCCCTAAACATCCTCCCATAAACCCTGCATCGTGTGGAAAACTCTGCTCTGACAGCCCAGTTTCAGAGGTACTGGATCCTCCGCTTCCGCCAGGACCGTCTGCCCCTGGTCCTCCAGATCCCTAAACCCTAAAGCCTAAACCCTACACCTATATAGCCCCATTATAATAGTTTCCATGTTCGTTTCCATTATCCCTAGTAATAACCCCAAAACCATACGCCTATATAATCCCATTGTAGTAGTTTCCATGTTCGTTTCCATTATCCCCATATTATCCAAATACCTCTGGTCCTCCAGATGTAACTCCAGCATCGCCAGCTCTGTGGACACATCCAGGAAGCCTAATCTTCCCCCGACAGAATGGGTTGCGTAGGGCTTCTATTGGGGTTATATAGGGCTTATAGAGGTCTTATATAGGCGCTATATAGGGATAAAGGAAAAGAAAATGGAAGCTACTATAATGGGATTATTATATTACTGGTTCTTAGTGGGTTAGTAGGGAACAAGGGAATATAATGCCAGTAGAGTACATTCCCATATTCCCTACTAAGCCATATTAAGCCCCAGTAAGTGATCAGAACCCCCTCCCTTGTTATTCACGCCACCCACCCACTCATTTCAAGCGTGAGTCACGACTTGCTAGAAAAAAGCAAGTCACTTGAAACATTCCTAATGCATGTCTGAGCAGCACCGGTACAGTCCATGGTGAGTAGGACTGAACTTGGGATAGAGGGTATTCCCTTCCACGATCACGTGTCTCAAGTTGGTCTCTGTTCCCAAGAGTCGGTTCACGTTTAGCGTGTAAGTCCGTGATCTGCCATGCAGCTCCACATCGAACTTGTATAGCGTCTTCTCACCAGGATCCAGCACAATGTTCTGTGAGAAGTCTATCATGGCCCGCGGGGTCTCGTGATGCAAGCAATCCAGATTGGGACACAGATAAATGTTCGTGACGATGGCAGCACCCAGGGGCGTTGCCTGAACCGCAAAGAAGCCCATCTTGAAGTCTAGGGTCGCATTGTACATGACATCCATCCGATTGAAGACCGGCGTGGTGTCAATGGGCTGTTCCTGTTGGAAAAAAAGATGAGAGCATCACCTCCGTCCTAGGTCCTTTTGAAGCAGCCCTTCCACGCCCTTATGCAGTTCGTGTGGGACATAAATACTGGTAGATGCGTTCGCACAACTGCACAACTGGCGCACGACACCCCTATACGGTTGGAAAGCAGCTCACGAGGCCTACACAAGAGCTGAAGCGCAGTTAACGGCCACCATACTCGGAGTTCAGGCTAGTATCTAACCGTAATCTGCTTGTTTTTGCCTACACACCCAGCCTTAAGCCCATTTGTGCTGAAGGCACTGCCAGTTCTTCCCTACCAATAGTGAAGGGCTGAAGGCTAGTCTGCTTCCAATACACAAGTTGAATTGCACCCCTGTCAGCATGGAGATTTCCAACAATTGGGATCTCTGCCCTTATGCATCCTCGTCCCCTACAACCACTTTTAAACCCAAGCCCTAGATGTCTCTCTCTTTCTGCAACAGACCTACATAGACCTATTTATTTCCCTTTACGGACTAAACGTTGAAACCCATATGATCCTTGCATTTCAAATCTCATGGTCCTTGTATTAACCCTAAACCCTAAACCCTAAACCCTAAACACTTGCATTTCAAATCTCATGGTCCTTGTATTTCAGGTACATCACGTCAAGCTCCGGCTCGACAGCCTTTGCTCCGGTGAAGCAAAGCGCCAATCGCAGAAGAACGTGGTGTCCTCGGATCATGGGTCCCTTTCCAAGGAGGGACTATAGAGGTATATGGGGGTTTCCCAAAATTAGGGGTACCATTTTGGGGGTCCCAATAATAAGGACTATGATATTTTTGGGTCTATATTGGGGTCCCCCTATTTGGGGAAGCTACCATATGGGGATACAGGTTATGTAGAGATACATCGGGAAATGCAAGGGCACGTACATGTGAAAAATGGGTATGTACATTTGAAACATACACTATAGACTTGAATCTAGAGGGACCTCTGTGTATATACTGCTATTAGAATACTTGAGAATGGAAAAGAGCATGGAAACTGGGATCATTGGATAGAATTTTGATTCCAGAGAACTTGTACGGGTTATAGAGGGTTCTGCTGGGATATGACTTGGCACATAAGGATTTATAGGGGTAGGCGGAGATTACAGAGCAGGGTTCAGGGGCGTACTCCCAAGGGACGGAGAGGCACTTGAAAAGAAATGGAAGCTGCTATGTAGGGTTTAGAGTTAACATAATCTGGACAGGTGCCGTGAGGGTATTTATAAGCTTACCTTGAGGTTCGTACCCCAATTTATGGAATCTACCTTATACGGATTACAAAGGGGTATGAAAATGCGTACTATGGACTCTGGGATCATGGGACATACGAAGAATACCCAACAGACGTCGCAATTGAAGATAATTTGTCTGATTCTTTGTATCCTGAACTCGTCGAGTAATGGAGATTGCAAAAAGATAATGGTCCTCCTAAGCAACTGTGATGCAGGGGTGTCTGGGGGGCCCGGGTCCAGCGAAAGGCTTTGAGCTTAAGGCTGAAAACGTTCGAAATAGCAGAATTCTTCTAGAACCCATGCTAGGATGTATCTTCCTGTCATGTGTATGTCTCTATTTAAGCATATATATATACACATATATAAGAGCGGGAGCATTTCAAAAATTCACGTAACATAATCTACTGTTAAATGCCTTCAGTGACAAGGGAGGATTTGTCTGGGATCCGCAGTGAATCTCGCATGTTTCTTTATTCTCAGCCTTAGCTCTAGCCCTGCTGTCGCGGCCGGCCTAAAAGGTACAGGGCGTGACGGGGCTCTGACTGAACTGACCGCAAGCTTGAGGCTTTGGGGGCTCTTGCTTCAAGGCGTTGCGGGCCCTGAACCTCACCAAAGCCTTCTACTCTCATGTATCAACCCATTTGAAGCCGCAGTAGACCTCTCTCCTCATTTTGCAATCCCCAGATATCCTTGGGGTTCCCCCTAAGCCCTAAACCCTAAAACCCTAAACCCTAAACCCTAGAATTTATGGTCTATCCCTCAGAGCCCAAGAAGACCCCAGCGTCTCAGCTTCATCCATCTCAGCTGCGCAGCGAGGCGCAAGCCCAAAGGGCCCAAGGCTTCCCAGCGACCAGCAAAGTGTGGGGTTTAGGGATCTAGGGTTGAGGGTTTAGGGTGTAAGGTTTAGGGTTTTGGGGTTTAGGCTTTAAGGTTTAGGGTCTAGGGATCTAGGCTTTCAGGTTTAGGGGTTCAGGGTGTAAGGTTTAGGGTTTAATTCGGGGCTTTAAACTAGGGATCTCGGGTCATTTTCTCTCAAGGCTTCAGTTGTAGGGTTTGGAGTTTGAGATTCAGGGGTTTTCGTCTTGGCATCTATCAGTTCTTGGTGCAGCTTCCACTCAGGAGAATTGACCCAAGGTTTGGGTGCTTTGCACACCCTTGAGATGAGCATACACTGCGCATTTAAACGCTTCACAGTGCTCACCAGCATTTCATAATGGCTGAGAGGGCTTAGGGGGTTCTAAAGTGCTGTTGCAAAGTGTAAAGAAGACGTAGGAATTCGTGACGGCTTCCTCGTGAGACGAAATTACCATTAAGACATGTGTCATACAATATCTCAACAACTCTAGACTCTAGTCAGGCATCAGAGATTTGAGGCAGGCTCATGTGAGAATGCAGACTGAATAGTCACGATGTTGATCGTGCTGCTGTACAAAGAGCTAGTAGTCCGGAGGCCAGGAGCCGAAACATGCGATGGGCGGAAGGCGGCCAGGAAAGATTTCAGGGTGTGCTTAGGATTTCGGGAGTAGGGCGTGGAGCACGGGGTAAGTTAAGGTGGTTAGATGTGGCAAGCAGAATCTAGGAATTGCCAGCAAAGTTCAATAGCAAGTGAAATGTATGATACGGGAATCATGTTGGTTGCACAGTACCTGGCATCTGTGTAGCTGGGTTGTCTCTCTCGCTCGCGCTTCTTCATCTGCTTCATGTTCTTCGGCGTTGTCTTCTTCCTGTTGTTATTATGTTTTTTTCTGCTGTTTATTTTTCATCGTTTTTCCTATGCTTCTTCTTCTTCTTCTTCTGCTTCATCTGCCTCCTCTTCTACTACAGGCCTCCTGCACGCTCTGCCGCTCTTTATTTGATGTGACCTTAACAGATCGGTGTACAAGGGCCGATGCATGTGCTGGCTTGCGTTTGCCTTAGCGGGGCTTGGCTTCTTTCAGTTGGACGTTTGAGACGTGGAAACATACCACGAAAAAATCAATCTTACTGCTGAGAAGCAAAAAGACCTCCAGCAACAGTGGAATTTTGGCTCCGATTGCAAGGACTAGCTGAATGTGCAGCTGCTAAGTTTGGATTGTTCAGACTCCTATTCCATGCGATCTTGTGTGATCTCCATCGCATGTAAAACTTCTGACCATATGGGCCCATTTTGTGCACAGAGCCTATCCCAACACTTTGTTGCGCCCTCACGAAAGATAGTACTGATGGTAGCTCATCAAGGAGTTACCATGAGCTGCTGGCTTGGCTGGAGCTAAATGAGCCACTGTCTAAACTCCTAGTATCCCCCTTAATAACCCGTATAATAGTCCCCTATATAGTCCCCTATATAACCCCCTTTAAGGAGTTTAGACTATAGCAGTGCAGGACCCCGGGCGCTGCAGAATCAGCTCGTCAGACCACGAAATCTCCTGCCCAAGGTATTCACCCTCCCGCGAACTTACATGCAACCTAAAACTCGCATGGGAAGAGGGGTCCCAACAAGCTAGCAGCCACCCAAAGCTTGCATAGATGCCCAAGGCATACTAATAAGTATGTGTCTGCAAATCTGGGCAATGGTAGACCAAGAAAAGGTCCCCGAAGTCAGAAGAGCCCCTCTTTGCGTGTTGTAAAGCCTGGAAGGTTGCCAGTGTTATCAATTTTGTTCTTCTGTTCTAATTGATTGTTCAGGCTTGGTTCCTGCTCCTAAAGGGGGACTGACAAAATTGACATCCAAAAAGGCACCTTGCAAAAGTAAGAGCATCAAAAAACCTCCGCATACTTGACTCCTAGCCTCTGAAATTGATATTGAACCCTCGATCCCGAACCGAATCTGCAAGGCCCTAGACCGCAAAATAAGTGCCCTCTGGAAGAGTCCGCAAAAGCAGCTTCCAACACCAAGTCCTGCTTGGCCCAGTACATGACGTACTCCACAATCTGCCACGCTGCAGGCTGGGGTAGGAGTTTACGGTTTCCAGTTGGGAGGCTTTGCCCTAGTACAACCATAGAACGAGGTAGCGTGAACGGATGCTGAGCACCAATATCTTCCGGAGTTGCCCCCTGGACCTTGTGAAGAGAACATGCCAGAACCTCCGCTAAACAACGCTACTCAGAGCCCGATTTCCTCTGTTATTTCAGCAGTCTCCCACGTAGGAGGACCCCAATATAAAACCCAAGATACCATACATAGTCCTTACTATAGGGTCTCCCAAGTAGGAGGACCCCAATATAAAACACAAGATGCCATACATAGTCCTTACTATAGGTACAGTTATGCATAAGAAGGCCTGGTCCTCCTCCATGTCTGGGGGGAAGATGGTCACCTTGCCACCCATGACCTGCTCCAGGTTGTAGAGCGGCAAGACTCCACATTTGAAGGCCTTTCCTACACCTGCTTCTTGATTTAGATCCTAGCACAGCCAAGAGTCTGTTCTTGTCAAAAGGTGGGGCCGTTGCAGTGTTCTTGGCGAACCCCTTGACAGTCGGAAGTAAACTGAACGCAAAAAGGTCATGTCGCATTCATGTCATTGATCAAGTCAAACATCGATCGTTTGCCTTCCGGTCCTTCGACATTTCGAAGCCCTCCAAGATGACCTTCTTGGCCTCATCAAATCCAAGTATCGAAGAAGCTCTGTCCGAAACTAAGTTGAAATCACTCTGGGGAAGCATGGCTCAAGATAGAAGAATGCAGAAGATGAACACGAAAGGAACAAAAAACAAGCTACTTCTATCCATCCGTTCTCAGCAGGAAGCGCGCATGCAATCCCACATGAGCCATTGTCTAAACTCCCAGTATCCCCCTGAATAGCCCCTGCAGTAGTTCCCTATATAATCCCCTATACAACTCCCCTTTAAGAAGTTTAGACTATGGCCCACATGGGGATCTCCAGTACCAAGATGTGCGTCTTGTGGCTGGATCTCTGAGGTCTTGACAAGGTAGCGAGGTGCCTCCTGATAGTATTCTGTTCTGGGGCTTTAAATAGGGGGTTTAGGATTTAGGGGGACAATGGAAAACAAAATGGGAACTACTATATTACATAGGGCAATATAAGGGTTATATATCTATATAGTATTCTGTTCTGGGGTTTTATGGGGTTCATGCGGAATTACACCCAAGAATTTACTTTGGAAGGCCGATGAAATGTTGAGATCATGGGAATCGTCGGGTTTAGAACTCCCTTCTCAAAGCTACATACGATACTAATACCAGCTGCTTTACAATTCTGGGGCTTTGTCCGGATAAGGCTTTACTGTAGCCAGTACAGGGTGTCTTTGGAAGGCATCCTGGCCCCGGAAATAGCCCATCAAAAACCAGATTTGCCAAGTGATAGCCCGGAAGAACGTAGGACGGAGATCCAGCAGTTCATAAGGGACACCGGTTCTTGAATCAATTCCTCAAGATCTCCCCACCCAACCTTCCAAGTTATTGGGGGATTACCAGGTGACCTACCCGCGAACCAACCCGCTTAACGGCCTTATAATCTACATCTCATGCCCAGCGGCCTGATCTGCGCGGACTTGGATATCGCCTGGCAGCTCAGACAAGTGGACATTATAACCTCCTACAGCGCCTCTTAGCTCCAGGCCCCCTGCATAACCTCATACACTTTCTTGCTAGAGGAACGGGTTTGATGCTACTTTTAGGCCGGGTCTCGCTAGGATACAAATACCCCAGAAGTGTTATCCCTTCTCACCGCCGCATCTCCAACGCCATGGAAAAAACTTGCAGCGAACGCGTGTTCCTACTGCAGGGGATTTGGGAGCTTCGTATTTAAGATACGCTAATTTCCCAAAATAGGGAGACCCCAATGTAACCCCAAATACTATCATCCTTATTATGGGGGCCCCCAAAAAGGTACCCCTAATTTTGGGAAACCCCCATGTACAAATAACCCCTATATAATCCCTTTTTCCATTTAATTTTCCATGTTCTTTTCCATTTGATTCTCCACTATTGGGGCCAATATCCACCTTGTATAACCCCTAAGTTTGGGAAACCCTAGAGCCCAAACCCCAAACCCTAAATAGTAGTTTTCAATTTCTTTTCCATTATCCCTATATAACCCCTATATATCCCCCTACCCCTAATTTTGGGAAACCCCCACATCTTTTTGAGGCCATCTTTTGGGAGCTGAGCAAGAACTCTGCAGGGGCCCCTGCCACTCTTGAAGTTCACTGTGGCGCGCTCTAAGAGCCTGTACCTGAGTAGGCATCGGCATGGGAGGCTTGAAATTTCAGGTGCTTTGGGTTTGAGAAAAACGACTGGCTACGACTAGAATGAGAACTGGGAGGAAGAAAGAGCGACGCAGGAATTCCAGAAAGCTGCACCTACATACTCTGATGATCGAGGTGAGACGTAGAGGCTGGATCCTCTTTGCAACACACTTCGCACTCAAAGCACTGATGTGAGGCAATCTGGCAGAACCCTAAGTCCTGGAACCTGCGCGGCAAAATCAAACGAAGCCTGAAAGTAGCCCATAAGCACAGCATGCCAGCATCAAAGACACATCTCTCGCAAATTAACCCGTAATGGTTCTAGGAATGGTGTGTGAAGGATTATTCATATCTGAAGCTTCCTAGATCTTACCAAGACTTGCATGAAGCCTGTTTCTGCTCAGGTTGGGGCCCAGAATGCAGATCCTGCCGGGCTTCCCTCAGCATCAGCATGTTCTTGGACCATACCTCAATCTGGAAGTGGATTTGGGTTTAGGGATTTGTTGGGGGAGCTGTTGTCAAGTGATAGAGCCTGTCGGGTTCTTGGATCATTTCTTCTTCATAGGGACCTTCCTTTCTTCCTAGAGCTTTATAGCCGTCATGCGCTTGCAGCACTCTTAGGGCAACAACTAAGCAGGTCCGGTGTTTCTAGGCTTGAGCATTCAGGGTTTCAAGCTTCAGTTCTAAGGTTACAGATTCGGGGAGTCGGCCATCTGATGGGCACAGTAATCACTACATCCTGTCTTATGACCCCGGGATCGCTGTGCTTACTCGAGCTCTTGGTTTAGGGGGAGATCCTTGGGGTTAAGATGACTGGTTCCAAGAGATGCCCTCCATTAATGAGATTCCTGCAGTCAAACCACTGGAAAAACAAATCCCATACCCTTTACCCCAAACACTGAAGCCTGCAAGGTCTACTTCCACTATTTGTACCCCATACCTTAGGTGGACCCCCCACCCAGTAATAGTGACTAGAGGGGATAATAGGGATTATAAAAGGGTCCTCTTATATTCCTATTTTTCCACTATTCAGGGCTGGGGGTCCTCCTAACCCATACCTAAAGGTTCCCCTGGGCTGTCCCAAACGCGAAGCTGGGGAGCTGACCCGAGCCTCATCCAAAGTCGGATACTTCTCTGCCAGTTCCCGGGCCTGAAGTTGTAGGTTTTCCAGGGTTCAGGGTTTAGACACGCGCATCGCACAGCAGTGCAGGCACAGAAGAAAATGTCCGGTCCAGATCCAGTACAGCGACTGGGTTTAGGGTTTAGGGTTTAGGGTTTAAGGCTTGGGCCTACCCTAAACCCTAAACCCTAAAGAGCAGTTTCCATTTCATTTTCCATTATCCCAGTATAACCCCAACTCCTACAAATCTTATATAACCCATTAAAGTAGTTTCCATTTTACTTTCCATTATCCCAATTTCACCCCTAAGCCCTAAGCCCTAAACCCCTAAACCGGGTGAGGACTGGGAGGTTGGGGCTCAGAGTTGAGAGATCGGCCACTCGAAATAAAGGCCTGGGATGGTTTTCAAAAAGACTGGGCCCCAGTTTAGTGTACAGCAGGGGCTAGCTAGGCTCAGGGTTTTAGGGTTTAGGGTTTATACGGTTCAGGGTTTAGGGTATACCTAGAGGCCAGCCCAGATTCTGAGAATACATTCGCACAGGGGGATTTCGCAGACAGTCTTTAGGTTTGGAATCCTTTTCAACAGCTGTTCTGAGATGGAGAACTGCAGGTCCATAGCTGCTGGCCACCCGGATTTTTCTATGGGGACGGTGTTTGGGTACAAGGCTCCCTTAACAACCTACTATTGGTTGTAAGGGAGCGGAGCAATGAATCCTATGGTAGCCCCTTTTTAATCATAATATGTGGTGTGCACTGTTGACCTTCCTCCACAACAGCTTCCGTGTCCTTGTCTATTCCTCTATTCCGTACTAACTGCCGACAAGAAAAGGAACCACAAAGTCGAGACAGCTCAAGGCACTGTTGAATTACACAGGGAAAGATGGAGCTTTCATGACGTATGCGAAGCGCGTATGATGGCAGCAGGAATACCAAGTAGGATACACTAGCAGTAGGAAAAACAACTGTAATGGTAAGCTACCTTGGATATATGATATATGATTATTCTGACCCAGAAACAAGCTAAAGATGTGTTGGGCGTCCAGACCATGATCATGAACAACGCTGAACACAAAACTGCCCCCTAAACCCGCTTATAGCTGCAGTTCTCGAAACCACACATTAAGGGTTTAGTGTGTGAGATAAGGTTATTACAAACAATTAGCAGCAGCTGCAGAAACTCCAGGGAATTAGATCACCTGGTGATCATAGGGATGGCTTTATGCCCAAAGGCTTGGTCGTTTAGATTCCTTCTTGCGTACAACTAGAAGGGCTCATGCATTTGTGCAGATATGCACAAGAGCGCTTGGAACGTATGTGTGCAAGCGTGTTTGTGATGTGAAATAGAACAGGACAGAACGCTCGTCTGTCAACACAAACTCTTCCGAATCCCTTCTGCAAGCTTCCAGAGGCCCGCTCCTGATGGTCAGGAACCCGCCAGGAAGGTCCATAGCGGGCCTCCACGTAGATTTCCTTCCGCATGCTAAGGCTTCAGGCCCAAGGTTCAAACATGGCAATGTCTTGAATCACGTCTACATTTCCAACCCCAAGGTCCTTCGCCATTGGAACAGCTTTACAGGATCTTGTTGCATCCTGTTTTTAAACCCTTGTCCCCTAACGCGAGGACCTTTAACGCTGATCTGGATGGGAGCTGAGCCATTGGCATGTATGATTCAAACAGCGCCCTAGTCACACTACAATCATTGGACCCAAACGTGGGAGCTTCGTTGAACAGAGACGGACTTGGGGACAGCCCCCTGTTTCGAGGGATCATGGAATGGCTTAAGGATCGCTGCTATATCTCAAAATAGAAAAAAAACGCGAGTCGGAGCCCACGGGACCACCGCAAGACACCCAGTTCCCCACGCCCCACGGGCACTATCAGCGGAGTTCAGAAGATGTAAAGCCCACATTGCCCGATCCTTGCAAACTTAATACGGAGCTTATGACATCATCCACCAGATCTACGACATCGTCAGGTGTGATTCCCAGATGTGGGGCCTATCTTATCTTGAGAACTACCGAAGCCACACCCCTTCCGCATCAGCACCTGGGCTGCCAAGCAAATGAAAGCAACTTAACTACACTACACTCATCCTAAACCCAGAGACTCTGCACTCCCGAACCTAAACCAGAGATTCAAACGATAAGACTTCGCATGACCGAAGCCTTCTCGCGTGGAGCTGGGAAGGTGTGATTGCGGATGAGTACCTCTGGAACCCGCAGGGCTCTTTTGCCCCAGACTCCGCAAGCCCTTGACCCGGAAACCTCCGCCCCTTCCGACTCCAACATTCGTAACCTTATCTCTGAACCCTAAACTCCAAAGCCTCCCCTAAACCTCAAACCGCAAACCTCCCATCGAAACCAAAACAGCATATGGGCCAGTACGGCTGGAGAGCGTCAGAGGACTCCCAGAATAAGGACTAGGTGACAAACTTGAAAAGCAAAAGGTTTTGAGTGCGAGAGGTTGTCAAGCCTTCAATCAAATCTCAAACTTAAGCTTCATGCCCCTTGCCTCAGAGATGATACTGCACGTTGTCAGCAACGGAAACAAAGTTGCTTACGGACTTCTTGCCATATCTGCTTGCGGAGCCAGATTCATCATGGGGCTGGCACCTGCGAAGGCTCCTTACCCTAAGGAAGGACAAGGTTTCCCGCTTCCTTCAAGGAGCCCTACCGGGCGCCATCAATCAATTAACCCCAAATCTCCCCACGTACTGTAGAGGCCGGATTGAGTACCAGGAGTGTCCTTATGTAATACATATACAGTCTTGTCAAACATGCCCCCCAAAACCCCTGTTGCAATGTTTAGGCCTTTACATTAAACCCTGCATTTCCCGTCCCCACCTCGGAGGGAGGGTAAATGAGGTGCTTGGTCGCAATGGCGAAGTCCATTTCTGGCAGCTTGGGATTCTACAACGACATGGTGAATTTTGAAATGCAGTGCTCGGGTAATCCATTGATATGCAGGGTCTTACTTCCAGGCTAGGATGCGGGTGCATTTCAAGAATACATTTGTTGAGAACTTGCGGCCCAAAGGTGCACCTCGGGCAAACCAATACATGCCGCATGTCAACACACGATTAGATCTTCAAAAGGGCCTGGCTGAACTCTGGCTTTGCCCTAGGTCTTCTCCCTGAAGCCAAGCTAATGTGCTTAGTCGTTCTGCGACGCAGTGTTGCTAAGTATGTTGTTCGCTTCACAGAAATGTCCACCAACGATGCAAAGATTACTTGCCCAGGCCCTGAACGTTGGAGTCCAGATTTGCGCAGTGCCTTCGTCATAAATGTCCATGTAGTAGGCAAGGTCGTTGCCTGGACCAGACCACGGGCACAAGCTAATAGCACGCGCTCTAACAAGAAAGGTGGCCTTCCAGGGCGACAAAATGTGGATGTTACATCTTTGGGCGAACACGAAGACATTTGGCGACATCTATCTGATTGATAATCACCCACGCAGTCGCTACTACTTCGGCAAAGCTGAGGCTGTTGCCCAATTTCTCCGTGTCCCACTCGAAGTGCTCGTTGAAAGGTGCCTGAGTCATGGGGTCTAAGGCTGCATTGCTGTATGAGATCTTGGTGTGAGCTCGCGCTTCTGCGTTTGGGGCTCCCCAGAAAAGGAGTCTTTGTTCACAATATAAGGGAGACCCCCCCTTTTGGACGTGCCCGGTCGAATAAAACGCATCAGAGCGCTGCAGGCGCAATCGTTTCGATCACAGAAATTCTTCCATCTGAATGCGCCAACCCCATTGGACCGACTTGTCAGTGACCACCCACAGAACTGAGCCAGGTGCGCGATTCACAGGATAGCCTTCCCACCTCAATAGATCTCTCAAAGAACATGCAGCTGGCGACAACGTGTCAGGCTTGCTTCTGACTGCTGCCAAACGGCAGCTTCTGCAAACTATGCTCTATAGATTTTGTACAATGGCCCCACAGTCCCTTTTCGTTTTGTATACATTCCTAAAGTCCAGTCTCTATACATCCCTGGGACCCCAGGGAAATGTAAGGATAAAAATCAGGGAATGGATTGTCCGCTCTGTGAAGCTCCCAGGTGGCCACACCTCCTTGTCCCATGCCCTAAATAAACCAAATTACAATTGCATGGTCCATGTTCTTTACCATTTGGTTCTCATCCCTGCTACACACCCCTACAAAAACTTACTTTCAACCCCCAAATACCCTCAAATGTCCGTGCACAACCCCTATAGAACCCTGTACCCCCCACCTATATCCCGACATACCCGCGTGTATCCCTGTTTGGGCACGGTCTGCCCGGACACCCTACCCCTTACACCCTCCATCTTATGGTCATTCCCCAAAATAAGGCAACCCCAATATAGACCCCAAAATACTATGATCCTTACTATTGGGACCCCAAAAAGGGTTCCCTAATTTTGGGAAACCCTAAACCCTAAACCCTAAATAGTAGTTTCCATTTTATTTTCCATTATCCCTAAACCCTAAACCCTTAACCCCCTTAAAAGGTCCATGCCAAGAAACACAGCGCAAAGCCGTGCACAGTGAGGCTGATCAGGATCCTCGGCTCCGGAGAAAAGGTGGCATTGCAGGATCCTGCAAACTACGGGTGATACTTTAGGAGGACCCCCCCACCCTGTAATAGTGGTAGAATAGGAATATAAGAGAACCCTTATATAATCCCTATTATCCATTATAGTCGCTATTACTGGGTGGGGCACCTAAGTGATACTAAACATCTGCCCATGACATGAATATCAACAGTAGGATTCAAGGCCTAGGCCCAGGCTGGTTTTTCTGGTTGCTGCTAAGGAACTTAAATTGAATTACTATATTGGGGAAACCCTGTTATTTACTATATATACCCATTATGGTAACTTAATTTAAGTTCCTTAACAGCAACCCAGTTTTTGGTGCGTATCAGGTTCTGTTCTGGGGGCTAGGGTCCAGAGTTTAGATCAGGGTTTAGAGTTTGAGGTTTAGGGTTTAGGGGTATGTCAATCGCAGACATCCTGCCCACAAAACACATCCCAAAGCATCATTCAGTTGCATGTAGCTGCTTCTCAACATGGGAAGATCTCCCGCACACCCTCAAGAATCTGCTACCTCGCTTCCTCCACAGCTGCAAGGCGGATCCAGCGTTTGAAAACAATAAAGCCAATTGACCAGTGCCTCTCCCTCCCCCAACTAGATCAACTAAGTGCACCAAAAAACTGCAAATTTTCGCGATCCTGCGGCAAAGCAGAAACGGCCATCAGATCTGCTGTTGTCAGCATGCCGGGCGCCCCGCGACCATGAAGTGGTACGATTTCGGTCCCATGTCTTCCTCGCGCGACTATTTCTGAATTACTCATGGCCTTTCCGGCCAGCATACCGGCAAGGCAGGCCTAGCCCGATCTGCCGGCCAGGATGAAGCTCGAGCTAGCACGGCAAGGAAAAGCGCCGTGCAAAAGAGGGGAACGAGAACTTGCTTATTAGGATGGATGCTGCTACCAGAGCGTGTTCGATCCCCGTTGAGCTTTAGGACAAAAAGGGTTCGGTGGATGTTGAATATTTAAACGCCCAGCTAAATTCACAAGCAGTCCTCGTTGATGAGCATGGCCCGCTCCCAACCTTTGGAAAGCGGAATTACTGGCCGACATCTTCCAACACGAATCTGCCACTCTACTGCTTACCAGCACTTTTGAGACTGGATCCTCGCTGTCTTTTTATCCCCAAGATACTTTCAACTATGGGCACAACCAGAGCTTCCTGGCTTCAAGCTTCCCGGGCCCCGGCCCTCTCTTGGCACGAAGATGTCCAAGTCAGCTGTGTAGGGAATGATATCCTGCGGCAAGGATCGTTGCGAAGCAATGTCGACATATGAAGCAGCCTCATGCCTTACAACCATAATGCAAAGATGCAAAGAAACGATAATTAAGAACAAAGAAAATCATGACCCGCTTCAAAAGCATGATGCTCCTATCAGGAAGGATGCCACGCAAGGTCTTTGAAAAATCCGCAGATATTCGCGTAAAACGATCTTACCACCAGATCCCAGTTGCCATCTGCACTCTTGCATGTCTTCTCCTGATCTCGCACTGCACCCAGCAGCGTGCCCTCAGAGACCATGAAGGTGATATTTTGCCTGAACGCCCCGCGTCTGCAGATCGGTGATCTCGCGCACTGCAGGAAATTATGGATGTTGATCAAGCCAACCTGACTCCCCAATCAACACCTAGAAGGCATACCTCCAAACAAACGTCCCTAATCAGACCATGCCAAAGCTGGGAATGCGATTTACCTCAAGCACGGAAAATTACCTTCAATTTGGCACGGCCCGTGGGTCGAAGATGCAGTTGTTAAGGTTAAGCGCACCGTGTGAAACAGGAAATTCAAATTCATCAGTGCAAAATGGAGCATGGACAAGGCGCTTGCAACATGAAGCAGTCTGTAGGTAAAGAAGCAGCCGCGGCACTTAAACCTCAGGTCACGGCAAGTTCCAAACGCACAATCCTGAAACCCTCAGCCAGCAATGAAACCCAGGGTACGGCTACCCGGTGCCTCCTGAGGAAATTGCTAAAGTCGACCAGCATCTCGAACATGAGGTCCGAACAGCCTGCCGGTATAGTACAGTTGATACCTAAAATTCCATGACGTACACCGATTTAATCGATCCATGTGTTCGAACGTTGCTTCTGACTTGCCAAGTGCCAAAAACCCTTGGAATTACCGTCGTATAGTATACGACGGTCGTGCAGGATTTGTAGAGTAAACAACATTTGTCACATCTACAATACCTGCTATGGGGGTTTTCAAAAGCGGCGGGCCCATATAGATATAATGAAATCCTTCTTATAGGGGCTTGCAAAAAGGTTGCTCCTTTTTGATAATTTCATATAATTTCCATATACTTACCTACAGTACGGACCCAGGAAGAGTAATGCGGCAAATTCCCATCGTAGAATCTCTGTGGGGAGTTAGTTGCCATGAGGGCACTACACTGTCGAGATCCATTTGGCAAGACACTAAAAAGAAACCTTTCCAACAGAACTCGAGAGAAATTACTGTACCAATTTCAACGCTTCCCCATGGTTTCCACCTACCTGAGTCACGGGACTTTCCAAACATGATGAGCCCTTCACGATGCGGTTGGGACCAAAGCCATACTGCAAGGGAAGGGGGTTCAGAATATCAGGAAATCCTTCTGCAGAGAATCCCCACATGGGTAAAGAGTAGGCATCTGTGACCCTCATTTCTGGAAGCTGCATGCATCCCGGGGCTCAGACAGTTTCCATTCACACGGCAGGAAGCCTGGTCACGAGAACCTGGGAGACTCCACATGAGTGCTGTCTTCTGGTGGTAGAAACCAGTAGGGACTATATAAAATATCCGCGTTTTGAGATATTATAACCAGACGGGGGAAAGGGGGACATGATCTTGCTCTATATTGGGGGGTATAGAATCCACAGTAAACGTACTGACAAGTGAGCAAAACTCATGGCTTCATGCGCATGCGTTAAGGATTCGGAATACTGTTGCTGCGGAGATGTCCATTAGATTCCATAAGACGACCCGATCTGCATGCTCCTGCTTGCTCTTGCTGCCCTGCCAAACACGACCACTGCAATGACCGCTGGGTAATCTCAGCGTAAGATTCCCGTGTCCTTCCTGCATCCCAGATGCGAGCTTCTCAACAGAATTTCTATACAGTCCTCCCGTGTAATCCCTGAATTTCATACATGCCCAAGATTCCTGAGGATGCCTTGTCTGAGAAACTGCTGCACTAGGTAGGTTGCAAGACAACTCATCCCTTGGCTTCCAGCACGGCGGGCTTCTGCAAGCCTTAGAGGGTTCACTTGGAAGTTTCATGATGTGAGTATGGTTTTGAGTGTCCCACTTATGCTGGTGATTCAGATTATCTTGCTGAAAATTCTA